TAAACATTCTGCAAAGCTCACTCTGTTTTTGGAAGATACAGCTTTAGTGTCTTGTCAAAGAATAGATATATCTCCAAAGAATGTTTTGTGAAAAACAAAGAAAAACAAAACAAAACCAAGAAAAAACAGCTAATTATTTTGGAATTATGTGTATTGAGTGTCATTTGCCTTTATACATTTGGGACAGAATTTGACTTATTTCTGTTTAATCATATTAATCTGATCATAATTTTTAATAAATAGCCTCTACCTGAATATATAGATTGTTCCCCATCGTTCCTCTGCAAGTTGAGGTGAACACTCTCGCTGAATTACGGGTTTGCAGTGTTTAAATACTACATTCATATCAAAACTCTGGTCACAGGTACAAGTCTTATGGTTCATTGTTTGAGTTTGCTGTCTGTGTGGGCTTCAGAAGTGGGTTGGCAAGCGGACAACTATATATTGCTATTCATAGTACTATATATTGTGAAGATTTTCTTTTTTGATACAAAGATAGATACCCTAGGTAATATGAAAAACACAGGTATGTACACACATAAGTAAGCTGCTTGTTCCTTGAATCGGTTACTGCACAGATGTAGCAATGATCTTGTGGGATTTTCTCTTTTTGGGAGATTGCAGGAGACTTGAATCTCCTTTAAGATCCTTCTCTTCATAGCAAGTTTTATAAAGCGGAAAGAAAAGACAGTTCCGATACTACTTCTCTTACTCAGTGTCCTCTGATGTCAAAGAGATTTTGATTCAGTAAAGAATAAAGGCTTTAGTTTGTATTTTCACTGGGGTACTAAAAATATGTTCAAACCAGAGTCTTTCTCTGTTTGTTGTGTTAACTTGAATGGCCACTTGGGCTTATGTTTGATAAATATATGGAAGCTGAGTTGAGCAGAGCCATGTGTAGAATCCATGATGAGTCTGGGATTTAGAGAAGCTTAACTAAAACTAGCACTACTAAGCATTGTTCTGCAATTTAGTATAATAGAAGAGTTCACCTGTATCTCCCTACAAAGTCCATTCTACAGTACTTAAGCATTAAGTAATGCACAAAGAAATCTATATCTCTGAGAGCAATTTCTTGGCACTGTTACTTCTTTCCTTTTTGCTAGATAAATGGTGAGTTGTGTTGTTATTTAACCTAATGTTCTTTTCTAGTAAGTGCAGAACAGTTCATCCGGATACTTTATGAAGTCTCCGGGTCTATCGACTTCAATGTGGGATTTGTCTGCATGTTCCCCTACTGCTCTCTTAATGCACCAAGGCCACAAAGTGTCTCTTCTAGACAGTGTGACAAGCTAGTACTCCATATGGATTCAGATCGTGAAGTCTTCTCCCCTTTATGGTAGAAAGGGACTGGTGTGATTCAGCAGGGCTTGAAAGGAATGAATTGCCCATGCAATTACATCTATCAAATGATTCATTTTCCAAATGTTAGTTTTAGGCAGCTTTCCCACTGGCAGAGAGCAAAACCCAAGAAACTCTTACAGCAATCAAATCCTCTTAAAATCTAGATCGGGTGCTGTCCTGCTGCTACAGGACATCCATCTTTACAAGTCTGTGCTGCACAGCAAGCATGTAACATGATTGAGAAGTACTGATATATGGGCATACAGGGTTACTGGCTCTCTTTAAGCAGTGCTGTGGCTTACTCTGCAGTTGCACTGTGAACAGCGTACGTTCTTCCCATCTTCTGCTAACACAGTGCTACTGGCTTAGTCAAAACCACCACATACTCAGCATTTTGCCTCCTAGCATCTCTCATGCTTCATTCAAGATAAATTCTGTTTATGCTTTAATGGTTTTTGGATGGCCCTAAGTCATAATTCTCAAAAGAAAACATAGAAATTAAGCACTTATGTCAACTTTAATGTAAATGTTAATGCAACATAGGTTAATAGCTTCAGACAAAGTCTGGAACAGCTGTGGTTTTTACCTGGTGAAATAATTGTCATTTTCACTTTCTAGCTCAGTTGTGTACAGTGTGTGCCTGTGTCAGTTTTTGTCTAGGTTTTGGTCCGTTCTTTAGAACTTGCTGTTTTATTTATCTGTTTAAATGTCTAAAAATCTTGATTCTATGTAATAAATCATCATATGAGCAGTACTTTTCATTGCATTTCATTGTAGGGTTTCCTATTATGTTTATTGCTTCAAAATGAATAACTACTAAAGCATGGTAACCTATTTTAAATTAATTATAATAGTGAGGAATTGTACAAACAGCAGCCACACTTAAATCAGCTGTTTAAAAGAACATTGGTTTTATGGGTTTTCTTTTTTTTGTAGTTTTCTGGTCAATTGGTTGCAAAATGCCTGAAATTTGGTATTTGGAAGGACTATGAGAAATAAAACTCAGTAGTATTTCAAACAAATGCTGAAAAATAGAGGCATAAGTCCAAAATCAGAGCTTACAGCTCAAAGGGAAATGCTGTTAACAAACCTCTGTAACATCTGCTCTTTTATGTATTTTCTTCTATCACTGTGAATTTTGCCTCACACTGATTGTTTGATGTCGAGGTCTTTCAAAAATGCCACTAGCCTGTGATTGTTGCCTGCCCCTAGGAAAAATGGGCTTTCAGCATCCATAGAATACATGCTGCCTGTGTCACACTGACTGTGGATCTGCACATGGGTGTTGGAAATGCTACTTGCTGGCTTGTTTAATTAATGCCACGGATCTCATAAAATCCAGGTAGCTTTTTGGTACCCAGCAAAGTTACTCATTTCCTTGTGAGCGAAGAGAACGTGCCTGTATTGCTTCTCTTAAGTAAGTGTGCCCACAGTACTGAAAATTTCCTATCAGCATTATCCCTTGCTGCAGACCTTATAGTACATGGGTGGGCAACTTTGACAGAAGTGCTTCAGGAAAAGTTTTGTGCCTAATGATAATAATGGAAAGATTACCAGCAGACTTAACTGAGACTGAAGTATTTCCAGCTTGGCTCCTAAACTAAATCATGTCATTTTGGGGGGTTTGAAATTGTCCTTCATGGGATGGGAAGAAGGGAGGGGGAAACAATTTTTTTCGAAGAGTAGTTAGTTTTCCCAGTACATGCTTAGCCAATTTAGTCTTCTGAAGCCACAGCACTATTGCTTGTTTGTGCTTGTAGTAGACTGTAGTGACTGGGGGGTTGGCTTTTGTTTTTTAAGAGACTCAATATTTCATTTTGGAGCATATTTTGCTAGATTTTTCTTGACAAATTCGTAAGTATGCCAGTATGCTGATGAAGCTAGTGAACAGCTGATGTGGAAGAAATGGGTAAGGAAATAAAACATTGACATTAGCCGTGTGAGTATTTGAGAGCTTAACTTTGCACTGGGCAGGTCTCCTCTCAGCTGTGGTAAGCAGTATGGGGCAGAGAGCAGGGCCTGTCCCCTCACCCTGGGGCTTCTGGTGAAGGCTTATAAGCAGCCTGCTTCCAGGCTTTCAGCCCTGCACAGACCTGGATCATGGAGCTCGTGGTTAGCTTTCGGCTGTTAGGCTATATTCTCATGTTCCTTTTTCACACCAACTTAATTTTTTTTTCACGTGTGGATAATGTCATTTTTTGGTGTTGTAATCAAAATGGAGATGAGGCTTCAGTTCTTAAACTGGTTCTAAGCTCTGGAAATTAGCAGGTACTCGGTCTGCACTGCAGTCACAAGGCACACTTGAAAGGAATTGCAGTTGCTGCAGCATGTAGCCATACTTCTGCATGCCTCTGAGCAGACAAAATGCTGCTTCCTTAATTAAGAATTGATAATATCACTCTTCATTAACACATCTGAACCCACTCATCTACAAGGAAATGGGCTTAAAGATAAAAATGTCTTTCAGCTTTGCAGTTTTGATCCCGTGACTGTGGTGAACGTCTTGTTTAACAGTCTTTTTGCTTCCCTACATCCAAAAATTGTTCAGTTGTTTTAGTGTCAATTAATGTCACAACTTTTGCTCCTAATCAGTTTGAAGTGGACTGGGTTTCACTGTTCTTATGCATAGTTAATAAAGAAGTAATTGCCTTAACTCTGGCTCCTGTTAAGGCAAAGAGAATTGTTTCTGAACATCCAAGGGGAAAGTTTTGCTTTAAGCTGTTATCCTGTTACTTATTAAAGTTCCAGATCTGTGACTTGAATTCATGCTAATTAAAACATGTTAGAATTACTACTCAATATCAAGTGTACGGCACATAAAATACTACTCACTGATAAAGATTCTCCCTTGTAGTTGCTAACACAGTTAATTAGCTTAGAATTTGCACGTTTTTCCTTAATTGGGGGAAAAAATATTTCTGATAAAAATATTGTTTTTCTAATGTTAATATTCCATCCTAAATTATTAGAATATGATAAACTGGAAGCAAAATGTATTTTGCTAGTAATAAAGTCATGGTGTCACCATATTATATGTGCAGTTGGAAAAATAAGACAATGGCACAGTTCTGTGATGCAAAAATCATCAAAAGAAAAATAAACTATTATTTAGAGTATATAATGAAAGATTGAAAAAGTTCTAACCTTCTGAATCAGTTTCTATAGGCTGATTGCTTCTGTTTTCTTCCAGGAAGATTAAGGTTTCATTTCTATTAATTTTCACTGTGATATATTTTTCAGAAATAATTTCCTTAGTCTGTTTAACATGTTGTTTATCTGTCAAAACCTAACAAAACATCATTAGAAGTGCAAGATGTGGTTAGTGCTTTAAATAATAGGATGCAGGGAATATTGATGTTGAAAAGCAGAAGCAGCAAGCTTCCTTAGAGCAGCAAATTGAAGGGGAGGAGTTGGAATGCTGATGGTGAATAAAGTCAATTAAATGAGGAATGTACCCAAGAGAAGTCATGAGGTTCTTTCATGTAAATGGAAAGCTGAAAAAATATACTGTTTCCATCTAGCCCCAGTAACTACTTCAGACAGATGCATATGTGAGCATAATTAGTATTGTTGATGCTTTTCACATAGGTATTGTTATAGGTTAATTGACAATTGAATAACCTATTCAGTGCTTCTCTTATTTTGCTTTTCTGTAGACAAAACATGGATGCACACTCCTGAAGCCTTATCAAAGCATTATATTCCCTATAATGCAAAGGTAAGAATATATGAAGTTATTTTCTCTTCTTACCTTTAAAACGCAGTGCATTCTATCTTGCTTTTCATTTAAAAACTGTGGAGACACGGAGTAGCCAAACAGTGAGGTAAAACTTAGTAAGTAAAAGTGTATTTTGCAGATGAAATTTCTCCATTTCTTAAATAATAGTCAGATGTTTCTGTCTTAAGTGTTTGAGTTTGTAGTAAGCAAACTAGTGTTTCTGTTCTGCTTGATCCTCTGTTTCCTTTTAGTAGATGCCAAATGGATGGAAATTCTGACTGCAAAGGAATTTAATATCAAACTGCTTTCTTACAGTGTGTAAAAATGAAACTTAATAGCACAAGATTCTTTTGAACAATAGCAAAGACACAGAGTAACAATCCTATCTGCTGGATACATTGAAGTGTCAAATGCTCTCAGAATATGGTAGAATAATAATGCGATTTTTGCGCAGTAAAATCACAAGTCTTATTCTAGTGTTCTTTTATGTCAGCTATGCTGAAGTTCTGTAATGGTATTTTAATTAGCCTAATGACATTTATTCACAGGAAATGCGTTTTTCCAAAATAATTTTAAAATATGGTCTGCCAGAAGGAGATGGAATATATGCTATTCATTGTAAGTAGGGCCAAGTGAGTTATTCCTTGTCATTTTACTGGGACTATATTGCAGTAAGATTGCACCATGTTCTGTTCTGGCTAAAGTTTTCTATTATCAATTATCCCAAAATTGTTTGGGATTTTAAAATTAATTTTTTAACATAAAATGGAGAACAACTTCACAGAGCAGAACCCAGTTTCCTATACTGGTATTCCCCACTGTCATGTATGCAATTTTCTTTTGCTTAGCATTACCACCCAGTGAGCAAACATCCGTAGTGGGAATTTGAATCTCATTCTGGTAGTTGCCAGGTGAACGTGTTTTTATTGTGTGCTCTCAACCTGCATTTTTTGACCAAAGAGTGTATTGCCAGATGTATCACCATTTAGCTGGATCGACTTGCCAAATAGCTTGGCTTTTATGTTACACTTTTTGAGAGCAAGGAATACATGCCAAGGGTAGTGCACCATCTGTTTTAAGAGCAAGTTGAAACTACGAATTCTATTAATGCACTGAAGAAGTTGCTTCATTTGTTATCTTTTTTTTTTTATTAAGAAGAGTTCTCTCTCACTTTTTGTCTTGTTTCCATTCTTAATAGGATATGATATAAATAGTCATTACAAGCATGGAGAAGAAAAATTTAGAATTAAGATGATAGTGATGGAGTGATGCTAACCATAGAAAGCAATGTCAATAACTACCCTGGCAGAGGAAAAGGAATGGGAAATTCCCCTTCAATTGAAGTCCACTGTATTTAGGTTAATAAGGGCCCCAGTGTCTTCTGCTTGTTCATTGTTGGTTCAACAATATATTTTGCTTGAGAGAAGTCAATGGTTATATTAATATAGCATTTGAGTTCTGTAATGTCTTGATTTTTTAACTAATATGTCCACCTGATTGCATACCTTGGAACTAGATCATGAAATAATAATTAAAAACTCAGGCAGCATCTATAAAGCAAAATTGAGGACACATGGTAGGTTTTTCTTCTTGTTTTTACAAATGTTGATAGTTATTTTTCCCTGTCCAATTCTTTAACATTGTATCCATACAGCTTTTTTTACTTTTTGGGTAGAAATGGCAATGCTTTTCCATCTGATTTCCTTCAAAAGGTAATTATGTGAGTGAAGAATAATAGAGATGACAAGTTCAGAAAATCAAATTTAGTTGATGAAAAGCAATACTGGAGGTGTTCTTTTTTCCGTGGGCAAGTGAGCTTTGTTCTGCTGCGTAGTTTCTTGAATACAAATTACATAGGAGAAAAAAACATGTTTTCTGTTCTTTATTAGGTACAAAAAGCTGACACTAATCTTCTGAGATTATCAGAAAACAATACTAAAAAAGAAAAATCTAGAAAAGGTGGGGTTTTGTTTCTTTACTTGATTCCTTAGATGTTCTACTAAGAATTAGTGAAATCTTGTTGAGAAAAATGCAGTCCATGTGTTAACTGCTGGCTTGAGAACAATTCTAATCAATGCAATTGAATGTTAAAAGCCACTTTGAATATTACAGAATTTTTCTCTTTTGTACAAACTGGAGGAGTATCCAGGGTTGTTTCTTGTGCAAATAAAATTCAGGATGTACAGGTTTCATAAGAAACACCATTAAACAGGAAATGAGTCCTGAATCTTGCTGTCTTTCTGAACATACCCACTTCTCATGGCATTTGTTATACAGAAATGTCCTGCTTTCCAGGGTGGTTTGTATAAAGCATGAATTAATGAGGGATTTGGAGTGTTTGATTTCATTAGGGGTGTTTGAGTGGGTTACATACTAGTATGGAGGTGTAATGTGGGCATACTGAAGTGACAATTTTGCAATCCATTGCTTTGTGAGCTCCTGTTGTTCGTAAATATAACGCTTTGAAAATGTACTGGTAACACAGCTTTTCTTATCTTTCAAAAAATTCATTTATGATCTTGGTAGTAACAGCCTCATTGTAAAATATGGAGGCATAGGACTCATTTAGGTGCAACAGCACAGGAGTTTTCACCTAATAAAATCTATTTGTTACCAATGTATGCAATTATAAACTCAAACTAAAATCTCAATTTGTTTTCTGTAATGATCCTAAGTAAGAACAGATGTTGCATTATTTTCTGTACTGTGGAGGAAAAAAAAAAACTTTTGCCCTGTTAATTCTCTTGCCTGTTGGCCAGTTTTTTTCTCTAAAACGAAGTGTGATCCAAGTGAGGCTTCATAATGGAACCTGACTGCAACCTTAAAAAATAAAATGGACTGATGATTGTCATCACGTAACTGATACTGCCCTGATGGATGTGTTTCTGCTAAGCCACTGCTCTAAACAACAAGAATTTTACTGTATCTCGTTGCAGTAAATTATATATATTCTTCCAAGATTCCCCTTATGGTCACTTGGTTTGCATCAAATTTCTACGTGCACATCTATCCATTTTCTGGATTAGAGGTTCTGCTTTGTAAGTCTAGTGTTTATGTTGGCTTCTAGCAGCCAACAGAACCAGCAGCTTTGACCTTTTACAAGACCTGGAAAGCTGCTATTTTGTGTAGCAATATAACATGTTAAAGGCATGTTAAACCCTTTGGAGTTTATTTTAACAAGAGATAAGATGGCTTCCTAATATCTGGGCTTCTGTTCTCCTAGTGCTTACTTGAGGCTTATTTTAAAACTTCACATGTTGTTATGGATGTGACATTGGTACGGCTGATCTTCCCTTCTAGGAGTATCTTGAAAATTAGCTTTTCTGTCTAGCCTGCTGGAAAGGTTAGCCCTGTTGTTAATTAAGCAAACCTTAAGTGGGTTTGAGATCTCATGACCACTGCAGACCTTTCTCCAAACATGTAGACATAGTTTATGTAAGGGATGTACCTTTGTTCTGATGTGTGCCTATTAGGTGGAACGACTCTCTGTGCATCGGTGATGTAATAAAGAATGCCTGCTTCTTTATGTTACATTGGCTTCAAGGAGTGTTATTTGAGCTGGGGTTTGTTCGATGCCAGATATACAAATGATTCCAGATGAAGTTTAAGTCTGAGACTTAAAAGATTTGAAGAGCAAAACTTTATTCTAAAAAAGACAGGTAACCTCGCTTTGTATTCTTGCAGGCTTTTTATGGCAGCTAATTGTGAACTGATGTGCAGATTCACAAATGATCTTTCAATTGTTGAATATGTATTTTGGATTGATACTGCAACTGTAACATAGTGCGTTGGTTGCAAATACTCTATCTGGCAGTACCTAGTACTGTTGTTCCTTATTGTAGTACAGCAAACAGAACGTCATACCTGTTAACTAATTTCTCAAACTTTTTTGTAATCATTCAGAAATAGCAGATAATATTTTTCTGGAGAAGTTGAAAAGTACACTGTTCTTAAAGTGTGCTGCTGTACAGTAAAGTACCAGGCAGGGCTCTTGGTGTCCTGCCTTTCAGTATCATTTCTTTTGTGTACTGTTATTAAAAGCATATTATCATGACTGCACTCCTACTACCAAGTGATGTACTAGCAAATTCTCCTTTTTCTCTCAGCAAGCATATTGCAAAATGATGGTGTCAGTAAAAATAATTATGAAAGAATATCAAAAATGTCTACTTAAATTGATATGGTGAAATTAGATCTAGCAAAATATTCCAAACAACAGAAAAGTGTTGCAAATTAGAAACTAATGAAATATAAGAGGGCATTATAGGAAATGATTTATTTTTCCTGCATTAAATTTATTATAATTAATAAGTGAATTTAAATTAACTTTCACTAGTCTCAAAATGCCTTTGATGTAATCATAATAAATGTGTTTAACCACAAGAATGAGTATTATGAAAATATTCAAATGAAATATGAAAACAGCAAATTATAATTTTATAAGTAAATTTGAATTACTTAGTTATTTCTGATACGTTGCAGTCGTTGAACTTAGGGTTTACTATTCCAGGCTGGAATAAACATGTAAATAAAGCATCTGAAGATTGAAAGGGATACTCTCTGAAGACTTCTCTGCCTTGGAAAAAGGAATCTGTTCCATTTTACTTCCAAGTTTACACTCTTAAGAGAATGGTAGGAGATTAATCTGCTATATCCACAAATACCCTAGATAAGAGATGATAGTGAGGCAGGAAGGTTGTATGCAAACTTCCAGCAGCAAAAACTATCTCTTGTAGGCATCTTCACAAGGGGAGTTGCCTGTAAGTGTCAAGCACTGAGTAGTTCCAGTTGCTGGTTTTAGTCTATGTGAAAACAAAACGTTTTGGTTTCCTTAGAACCTTCATAGTTGTCAGGATCCTCAGAAAACTCTGTGAGACAGAGAGCTCTTGGAATTCTGTGGTATGCCTTGTCTGAGATTACTCTGCCAGTTTGTAAAGGGACAAGTATTACATTTGTATCTCCTGAACCTCAGTCTAGTCTTCGGAGTGTAGAACCAGACC